GCCCGCCAGGTGCTCCAGCCACGCCACGGTGCGGCCACACCTGCGCCGGCGGGGAGCGCAGGCAAGCCAGCGCCAGGCCCGGGTGGGCCTTAACGCCGCGCCGCTGTGCCTGCCACCCGGCACGCCTGTTGAGCGGTGCCAGGCACAGCCTGCACGCGCCACCCCTGCTCTCCGACCTGCCCCCCCACGCTCATGCCCACCCCCCTTCCTTTGCCAGCAAACCGCTGCAGCCGGGCCAGCCACGCACCGGTTGAGCTCGGCGTCAGCAAACAGCAGGTCTGAGGCGCGCTGGCGGCTGGTCTTGGTGAAGCCCGCCCCATCCACAAACCCGCCGCCGCTGCCCCCCGGGAAGTCCCTGCAGGGGCGGGCGGGCGAGGCGGAGTGAGCGGCGCGTGCCTGCCTCGTCGTCCCAGCAAGAGCTGGCATGCATGCCGCGGCCTGCAGGGCAGCCCGCCGTCCCACCTCTGCGGCACGCCGTGCAGGAACCACAGCAGCTGCCAGGTGGCCGCCTCCCCCTCCAGCTCCTCCGCCTGCTCCTTGAGGGACATGTACCTGCGGCAGAGGCAGGCAGGGAGGGGAGGGGAGCGCGGCAGGGTGTGATGCCAGGCCACACAAATAATGCAACGAACCCAGCCCGTAATCAAGCAGCTAAGGGGGTTGGATGCTTTGCAGGCTTGGCCGCCAGCTCAGCCTGCTGCTGCACGTGGGCGGCCTCAGGACCACTGCAAACATGCGGCATGCAGCAAGGTGCCAGCACTGGCGGCCAGCCCCGCATGGCCAGCCCCGCACCTGGCCGCCCGCTGCAGCTGGCTGCTGGCCAGCTCCCTGAGCGCTGCGGCGCGCTGGCGGCAGATGGCGGCGTACAGGCGTACCGCCTCGGCGGCATCCTCATCGTCCCGCATCACTGCGGCAGCAGGAAGGAGCGGAGACGCGGGCAGGGGGGAGGCAGGCAGGCAGGCAGGCATGGGCGCAACAGCCAAGGTGCCAGGGGGTTACACTGGGGCAAAACCCTTCCATCTGCATGCCAGCAGGCCCAAGGCCAGCAGGAAGCGGCAGCTCCTATAGCGCCAGCCTGCCGCCCACCCACCTGCTCCCAGCACCCCAGCAAACTCGTCCTCCTCGGGCCGCTCCCGGCTGCCCCCGCTGCCGCCAGCCACCGTGCCTGGCGACGCGCCCGCCAGGCTGGCCGCCGGCGGCTGCTGATCGGCGCCCTCCCCGCCCTCGCCCTTCCCGTCGACCATCGCCTCGTCGCTGCCGCCGGGTGAGGGCTCCTGCGCCCTGAGCCGGCCCAGCTGCGACTGCGGCAGGGCGCCCAGGCGGCGGAAGCCCAGCGCCGACGACGGCGGCGCGCCGCCGGGTGCGGGGGAGAAGGCCTGGTTGAACTCGCCGGCCTGGGAGGGGCTGGGGGACAGCCCCTCTGCCCCGAAGTAGGGGTTGCTATAGGCCAGGCCTGCGCAGGGAGCAAGCAAGGCAGGTGATGGCTCGGGGGGTGCAGCTGCGGCTCGTCCAACCCCTGGATCGCGACATGCATACATGCTTACCGCCCTGCATTGCGCCGCCTGGCAGCCGGCCTCGCCCCAACACACGATCGAAACCCAGTTGTGGCAGAGAGACGGGGGCTCAGGGCATTCCCGACAATGCTGTTAGGCTACGGATCGATGCCAGGCATGCGAGAGGCTACCCTGTTTTCCCAAAGGAAAGACCGGGGTGGGGGGACGTGGCCACATGTTGGGGGACACCCACGCGGGGACGTGCCCCGCGTCCCCCCACCCGTATTTCTTGCATCAGTTTTTCTTGGGGCACCGGGGCACCCGCAGCGCGCCCCCAGGGGCCTTCCTGGCACACTTACACACCACAACTGCCCGTCTGTTGCCCTGCGCGGCCTCCCGCGGCGCCAGACCTGGGCCTAGCATCAGCAAGGGAGCACCGCGGCGCCCTGGGCGCGCCCCACACGGCCAGGTGCACTGCCGGCTGTCAACAACGGCTGCCCCTGGCCGGCTGCGCCCATGCAGCCTGTTGCCCATGCAGCCTGTTGCCTGTGCTCCTGGCGCCACCCCACGCTCCCCGCTCCCTCTCCCCCCTTGCCTCCCGCCTGCAGCCATGGGCTTAGAGGCGTTTCCGCGGCCCCAGCGCGCCCGCACCCAGCCCAGAAAGATGGTCGAGGCAGCGGACGACTCGGAGATCGATGCCGCAACACACTGGATCCACCAGTCCACTAGCCTGCAGCAGTCGGCGCTGCCGCCCGGTGCCCGCCCGCCGCTCGGCAGCCGCCCTCCACCCCTCCCCCGCCCCAAGGCGCGGCGCAGCAAGGCCACCCGCGGGCCCAGCAGCTGCAGAAGCAGCCCCTGCAGCAGCCCCAGCCAGCAGCAGGACGACAGCGACTATGAGGACGCCGTCAGCGATGCAGACGCGGAATGGGCAGCGGCTGCGGCAGCGCTGGGCAGGGCACCGCCAGAGGCAGGCGCCGACAGCGGCAGCCACCAGGCTGATTCGCCCGATGCCCCAGCGTACAAGCGCCGGCGGGGCAGCAGCGGCAAGGCCGTCAAGCT